ACACACACACACACACACACACACACACACACACACACACACACACACACACTAAACAGTTGGTTTTTAGGAGCATCATGACGGATTTTACCAGGCCTCCAATCTTCTCTGAGCTGCAGGTCTGCTGTAACCACCTGTCCTCTCTCTTTTAGCCCCGCCCCCTGTCAGAGCTGCCATAGCACAGGTGTGATGCATGAGTGTGTGGAGACATAACTGACTTGTTTCACAGTGTTTGATTAAAGTATTCACCGTATTAACACCTGGAAACAYGACACGGTTTGAGTGACGACATGCTGACACCACGAGTCTAACAGGAATGTGTCAGAATAAAACTACAGCATGTTTACTTTGTTTACTTTTATTGTTTTTATTTGTTTATTCTTGTTACGTACCCATCAGGTATGATGGCTGTGTAATGGCTCTGCACCTGGTACTTATTGGGTACATACATGGTACCAACAGGGACCAGGCTGTATTTTAAGATCATTTRTAACACAGTACTTACAGGATGTGACAGTTGTGTATTTACTTAATGGGTGTGTACTTTGTTTTTAACAATTACATAATGAGTACTTGAAGGGTATATACCTGGTAAAATTTAGGAATTTTGGGTACATGAATCCAAATGTGTTTGTAACTGGTACATTCAATTTAATTCAATTAAATTCAAGTAGGGGTCTCTGCAGAACATGTCCTGTGGGCGGAGACGGCCCTACTCCTGATTGGTCAGATTGACGGTGGGGTTTGAGGAGGCTGGAGGCAGCGGGGAGGAGCTTGGTCGGGTCAGGCAGGAAGCAACATGTTTTTTAAGATTAATTTTAGTCATAACCTGAGAAAGGAAGGTGCTAGCTGCACGAAATCTGAACGTTGTACGTGTGTAGAGATGTGTAACAATATGGCTCGGTCAAAACATCCCTAAACAGTCTGTAAAAAGATAGATTTATGTATATCTTTTTACAGACGGTTTACATACTGTGACATACTCAATACACAACCTAAGTACCAGGTACCTACAGGACATCTGGTACATATTGACTACATATTTGGTACTTGTGTACATATCTGTTACCTAATGGTACTGTTTGTGTTGCAGTACCTGGTTGTTGTGTTGCAGTACCTGGCTGTTGTGTTGCAGTACCTGGTGGTTGTGTTGCAGTACCTGGTG